CTCCCAGATAAACAATCGTCTGGGCCAGGAGAATCAAGCTTTTCTTCCAATTTATGGCGAAGCCCAGATTTAACAGGTGTGATGTCAACAACTGAGCCTGCATCGCTGCTTCCTGTCTGGAGCATGACAGCAGCAGCAGGTCGTCCAGGTGAAACAAAACTCTTATCCTGATGCATGCTCAATAATCCAGGTAGAAAAATCTAAAAAAGTTAAATCTGGTCCTCTGGACATTCAAAAAAACAAAACAAAGCAAAACAACAAAAAAATGTAGAAAAGTTTCGTCTCTCATCCAAGAGACTTCCTCAGTCTGAGGTGCTGTATTCAGCTCAGTCTCTTAAATAGCACCTTCTCAGAGTGGATCAACCAGTTTTGCTGCTGACAACCAAAACCAGCTGATCACATGCTCAAGAAGGACCATCAGCCTAACGATGGATCATTAGCACACTGATGGCTGTTTACTATTCACAGAGGGCTGAGTGATACTAGCAATCACAGCTTTGTAAGAGGGGGACAATTGAACCCGGAGGCCTCCACCCCTGTTTAACGATGGACGATTTCTTTTCACAAAGATGGCCTCCTTTACTCCTCTCTCAAACCATCGTTCCTCTCTATCCAGGATGTGCACATCTTAATCCCTGAAAGAGTGACCGCTGGCCTGGAGATGAGTGTAGACCGCAGAGTCCTGGCCTGATGATGTTGATCTTCTGTGCTGGGCCATCCTTTTGGCCAGTGGCTGTTTTGTTTCCCCGATGTAAGACTGATCACAGCCCTCCTGACACTGAACAGCATACACAACATTACTCTGTTTGTGCCGGGGTACTGGATCTTTGGGATGAACCAGTCTTTGCCTTAATGTATTTTGGGGTTTAAAAGCCACTGGGATGTTATGTTTAGAAAATAAACGTCTCAGTTTCTCTGATACTCCCTCAACATACGGAATGACCACTGGTCTGGGTCTGGGTTCCTCCTTTTCACCTGTTGGCTGACTGGAGTCCTGTTTGGGTTTCTTCTCTGCTTTCAGGAAGGCCCAGTTAGGTTATCCACATTGCTCTAGAGCCTGTCTTGTGTGGGATTTCTCCTTCTGCCTGGCTCCTGAGCTAGTGGGGACGCTGTCTGCTCTGTGATAGAGTCCTGATGACTCCTAACTTGTGCTCCAAAGGGTGATGGGAGTCAAACTGCAAATACTGGTCTGGGTGGGTGGGTTTGTAGTACACCTCAGTTTGCAAATGTCCTCTATCAGAGACTGAGATCTCACAGTCCAAGAAAGCCAACTTGCCATTTTTTACATCTTCTCGTGTGAACTTGATGTATTTATCCACAGAGTTGATGTGGTCAGTAAAATGTTGGACTTCCTGAGATTTAATTTTAACCCAGGTGTCGTCAACATACCTGAACCAATGACTTGGTGGTGTCCCTGAAAAGGACGTCAAGGATTTATTTTCTACCTCCTCCATGTACAGGTTGGCAACAATAGGAGAAACTGGAGACCCCATAGCACACCCATGTTTCTGCCTATAATATTGCTCCCCATATGTGAAGTAGGTTGACTGCAGGCACAGTTTCAAGAGTTGACACAGTTGTTCTGTGGAAAGCGTGGTCCTGCTGCTCAGAGTGGTGTCTGATTTTAATTTTAAACTGACCACCTCTACTGCATCATCAACAGGAATGCACGTAAAGAGTGATGTGACATCAAAAGTGACCATTGTTTCATCAGTCTCCATGATGACATCCCTCACCTTATCTACAAAGTCCATGGTGTTCTGTATGTGGTGTTCTGAGCTGCCAACTAAAGGGATGAGTACAGACGCCAGATATTTGGAAACATTGTAAGTGACAGAGTTAATCATGCTAACAATTGGTCTTAAAGGTACACCTTGTTTGTGGATTTTAGGTAAACCATACAGACTAGGTGTGGCCTCCCCTGGGTACAGTCTGTGGTACAGAAAACGGTCAATAGCCTTGTCCTGCTCAAAAATTTTCAGGCAATCTATCAATTTCTTCTTGTAACCACTTCCTGGATCTCTTTTCAGAGGTTCATAAGTGTTTAAGTTATTAAGGAGTGTCATAACATTCTCATGATAGTCTTTCTGGTTCAAAATCACTGTGCACCTTTCTTTATCTGCTGGGAGAATGATGATGTTTTTGTCCTTGCTCTTATCCCTGCTCTGTGTAACGGTTGCAGGGCCGTCTCCACACACTTTGAGAACGTACGAGGCGTGAGGGAATACCAGAACGGTAGCCTGTTGTACTGATACTTCATCCCTTGAAAGGAGAAGCGCAGAAATTTTCTGTGTTTTGGGATGATCGGTATGTGGAAGTAGGCGTCTTTCAGGTCGATGGAAACAAACCAGTCGTTTCTCTGGATGTTGTCCAACAGCTGTCTGGCTGTCAACATGTGAAACGGTCATTCCATGATCGACTTGTTGAAAACTGACAGATCCAAAATCGGTCTCGTTCCTCTGGTCCGTTTTGGAACCAGGAAGTAACGTGAGTAAAACCCTGTGTTTTTCTCTCCGTTGGGAACCCTGGAGATCACCTCTTTTACCAGAAGTTCTTGGACTTCTGCATTTAGGAATGAGACTTGGTCTGGTGATGACAGGACCGTCTCTAAAATTCCTCCAAATGGAGGGGGTCGGGTTGCAAATTGTAGCGTGTAGCCCCTGCGTAACAACCTGGTCATCCATCTGTCTGGTGAGCATGTTCGCAGACACTCCGCGTAACGTTCGTGGAGAGGGCGCGCGTTTAGGTGATGCGTCATGTTTTGTACGGATGTCATCCAGTCCACCGCCTCAACCGCCGTCATGTGTCACGGGAATGTGTTCCGCGTGACCCAAGGTGAGGCTTCCTCGAAAGGGCTCTGAACGCGCCTGTGTGCTGCGCTCGGACTGCGGGTCCACATTCATGTGTATGTGGCGTGTGTTGAGGAGAGGCGTGTGACAACTGATGACGCCGCGGGGGCGCGCGTTTGACACCACTGCGGTGAAACGCGTGTCGCTCCTGCCGCGAGCGGGATCCTGTAAGCCGCTGTGAGTTCATCCGAGCTTACAGACTGGCTAAAAACAGACACTTTAATCACTGAATGATGTTCATGTTTTATTTCAACACTTGTCATTTTTACACATACCCTCTGCAGACCGTCATTTTTTTTTTCTTTTCCCCCGTGAGCTCAGCGATTTGTTGGCCCAGGGCGCCGCCTGTTGGCGATCTCTGGGAAAACGCTGAACTGCCGGTTGCCAGGATTAAGAGGGCTGGTCTCTGGTCTCTTGAAACTGCTCCCAAAAAGCGCATCCACCGTGATGGGGCCCTCCATCAGGTCTCTGTGCAGTTTTTCCGGCAGAGAGGGGGAATGACGGAGCCAGGCCGACCTCTGAATCATTGTCATCCACGCTACAATTCTGGACAGGCAGACCGCAGAAGAGGCGCACATGTTGAAAATGGCGTCAGATGCCTTGCAGAGGGAGTTCCTGGTCTCCTCAGGCAGATCTGCGGCCTCCAGCCTCTTGGACACGCTGTACACCAACAGCGCCACGTTGTTGTTTGCTGCGGCTGCCTGAAACGCACACTGGTGAGCTCGATTGGAGAGCGTGGTCACCGTCTGGTCGTGTTTCCCAGGAGGGACGGGACGCTGCTCCAGCCTGGACAGCTTTGCTCCGAAGGCTTCCGCGAGGCAAGGCTCCGGGGGGGTACCAAGGGAAAGTTCCGCTCGGTGAACCCCTCCACTCTGGTGATGGGAGTGAAAGTGGAGACGAGCGCTCTCAATTTACCAGGACCGGCCGCGGCCTCGTTCCAATAGGATGTCACCGCTGGAAACCGAGGCCAGATGGGATCAGGACGGCAAGCCGGAGTGGAGCCAAACCTTCCCGCTAGATCATCTGATCTGGGCGGGGGGAGGAGAGGGACGGAAAGTCCCTTCATGTCAGCAGCTTCCCGGATAATGTCGGGTAACTCTGAGATGAGGGCACCGACGGCAGGGAGTGATGTGGCCGTTGAGGCGGGAAAGCCCGGAGGGGTTGAGCATCCGCTCGGCCCCCCTCGTTCCAACACTACGCTCTCTGGGAGGGAGCGAGCATCGGGGCTGCTGCTGATGTCGCCTGTCCCAGAGGAACCATTCGATTCGCTCCGAGAGCCGGCGTCGAAGAAGTCGATCGCATCGTCCAGCGAACAGTCTCCCGCCACGGACAGGCAGTCCTCGATGTTAGCCTTAAACAAGGCTGCTCTTCTCTGCCTTTCTTCCAGAGTAAGGTCGTCACAGAGGCGGCAGGAGGAAGCGCGGGCGACGTGGCGGGGACCCAGGCATCCTTCGCAGGTGTCGTGCCAGTCAAAACTGAGCAAGTAGCCGGTCTTGCAGGACGGATACAAGCGGATGGTGTTGGAGCTGGACATCTTGTTGAAGGCCAGTGCTAATAGCTTGCAGAAGAAAATTGGGAGCCAATTACACGACCGGGTGGGGCCCACACAGCAGGTGGGCGTGGACTAAACCTTTTAATGTAATGCTTCGCATGACGGGATAAAACCCACTAAGCGACAGCTCTTAAAGGGTGAAGCCTATGTGAAATAGAACCAACATTTTTCAGTCAGGTCATCTGGACAGTTTCTTTTTATCAGTTCAGAATCAGTTTTGTTTCTGTGTTTCCTTGACTGATGAAGCCTTCCGGACCGAAGGCGAAACGTTTCAGCACCAAAAAAAAAAAAAGAAACTCTCCAGATGGCCTGACTGAAAAATGTTGGAAGTTTTATAACAGTTGTTGAGAATCTCCAATTGAAAGCTGCGTTTTTTACTTACTGAAAAGATTATGCTGTATCATTCATTTGGGTTTCTACCTTCTTTGATCTTTTGTTGTTGTTGTTGTTGTTGTTGTTGTTGTTTTTTGGATGGACTGCGGGGCGCTTGAACAACGGGGCTTTTACTTTGAAAGGATGTCGGTGTAAATCGGTGCACTTCCTCCTCCGCATTAATTTAATTTCTGTTTGCAGACTCTGTGAAAGTAACAACAACTCACCTTTGCTCCTCCTGTTGCTGCTTTTCCTCCTCCGTGTCATGCCGGTAGTTTTTCTTTTTCTTCTGTTTACCTCTCCGCTCTGCCTGCGCCTCGTCACACAGCTCTGACATGGTACTGACAGAATCGACGAACAAGTCAGTCAAACACTAAACAAACAAACTTCGGGCTTTTTAATTTGCTTCTTTCTTGATAAACAAGCAGTAATCCGAGCACGATGTATTTCCGGGATCTCGTCGCTATGGAGACTGGCAACAGCTTTACCGGGCACGCGGCAAATCCACCCGTGTGTAATCATCGGGTGTGCGCGCTCCCGTTATTGTTCATGTTGAAGCGCGCGCACGATGATATAGTCGCTTCTACAGCTGAGTGAAACAGCAGTACTCAATGTCTGAATTTTGATTCTTAGAATTGTTTGCGCGCTAAAAAAAAAAAAATCTACACAAAACACTAAATCATCAGCCTTAGAATCTAGCTGTTTTTTGTTACTTTTCTTTTTTAGCCTTCTTATTTGTAAAAAAAAAATTAAAAAAATTGTATGACTTTTTATAACTGTTTATTGTTGTCGCTGTTGTCCATTGTTGTCATCATTCTTTGTTGAAATCAGGTCTCTCTTGTAAATGAGTCCTCGAGGCTCAATGGGATTTACCTATCTAAATAAAGGTTGAATGAATGAATGATTCTCAAGCTGCGACAAACATGTTTTCATTAGCTTAAATTGATTTAGACTCTCATGTGAAAAGTGGGAAGAATCTAATCTCTATTTTATCCAAGCTGTTATTAGTGCAATATGTATTTAATTTCTACAATATTCTGTCTCTTCCCAAAATACATTTTGCATATTCATTATATTGAGGGAAAAACAAGACAGTGTACTTTGTACCTTTATGAAAAAAAGAAAGCAGTTTGCACTTCTGCAAAGGTTTACACAAGAACTTCTAATTAAATTTACTGCCAGATGCAAGTTCCTACTGAAGTTTGATTTGTGATTTGTGAATTGTTATGATTGCCATTTAGTGACAATGATTGTTCAATCAATAATAAAATTAATCAATAAATAAACAAAATCTTTAAAATGCCAGTCTGTTAAACTTTTGATCTTCACATCACTTAAAAAAAAGAAGACATTAACACTTTTTGAAATTCAATTATTGTTTTCTCCAAATCAAGATATTGAACTGAAATCATTTTTTTAATTTAATGATTACTTTAGTTAAAGCCAGAGTAAGCAAACTGACAATGAAAGGTGTGGCTTAATTTGATCCGGATCCTGCTGGAACAAGATCCGGGAACTCTCTTATTTTGACAGGGTATGTTCTCTATAGACAGCACGGTGGTGCTGCTGGTAGAGCTGCTGCCTCTCAGCACGCAGGTCCCTGATTCAAATCCCAGTTTGGGGGCCTTTCTGGGCGGAGTTTGCATGTTTTCTCTGTGCATGTGTGGGTTTTCTCCGGGTACTCCGGTTTCCTCCCACAGACCAAAAACATGCATGTTAGGCTGATTGGTAACTCTAAATTGTCCCTAGGTGTGAGTGAGAGAGTGAATGGTTGTTTGTCTCGTTTGTCTCTATGTGTCCCTGTGATGGACTTGCGACCTGTCCAGGGTGTACCCCACCCCTCGCACAATGATTGCTGGACATGGGCACCGGCGACCCCCGTGACCCCAAAATGGAAGAAGCGAGTAAAAGATGATGGATGGATGTTCTCTATAACTGTTTGCTTGGATCTGGTAACTCTCAGGCCAAATAATAATAGAATATATCTCCAAACTGCGCCCATCTCTCACTTTTGCTGATGCAGAGAAACTCGTCCATGCTTTTGTCTCCTGCAGGCTCGACTACTGCAACTCCCTGTTTACTGGAATACCTGGCAAAAACCTTCAGAAGCTTCAATATATTCAAAACAGTGCAGCCAGGATTTTATTGAGAGCTCGTAAATTTGAACATATTACACCCATTCTCCATAACCTCCATTGGCTTCCTGTCACTTACATAATTCAGTACAAAATTGCTCTCATCACCCATCAGTGTTTATACGGAAATTCACCAGATTATCTGAAAGACCTTCTTGCTCCATATTCATCCACCCGGTCCCTACGATCACAGAACAGTAATCTCCTCCACCTTCCACGAACTAAATTAAGAACCATGGGAGATTGGGCATTCTGTGTGGCTGCCCCCCCCCCCCCCCCACCACCTCTGGAACTCCCTCCCTGACTATCTGAGAGCTCTACAATCATTGACTGACTTTAAAAAAGGCTTAAAGACTTTTCTTTTTAAGCAAGCCTATTCTGCTTCCACATGATTGTATCATTGATTTTAGTTGATTTTATCACTGATTTTAGTTGATTTTATCACAGATTTTAGTTGATTTTATCATTGATTTTAGTTGATTTTATCACAGATTTTAGTTCATTTTATCACTGATTTTAGTTGCACTCTGTAGCACTTTGAGATTTTTGTTAACGAAAAGTGCGTTACAAATTAAATTCATTATTATTATTTATTATTAGAGTTATGAACAAGTTTGGGCAGCACGGTGGCGCAACTGGTAGAGCTGCTGCCTCTCAGCGAACAGGTCCCTGGTTCAAACCCCGGTCCAGGGGCCTTCTGGGTAGAGTTTGCATGTTCTCTCCGTGCATGCGTGGGTTTTCTCCGGGTACTCTGGTTTCCTCCCAGAGGCCAAAAACATGCATGTTAGGCTGATTGGTAACTCTAAATTGTCCCTAGGTGTGAGTGGGAGAGTGAATGGTTGTTTGTCTCGTTTGTCTCTATGTGGCCCTGTGATGGACTTGCGACCCGTCCAGGGTGTACCCCGCCCCTCGCACAGTGATTGCTGGACATGGGCACCAGCGACCCCCGTGATCCAAAATGGAATAAACGGGTAAAGATAATGGATGGATGGATGAACAAATTTGACTGCCTTGAACAAACAAAACCTATATTAGATATGTAAACTGAAAATAATTACATAAACACTTAATTTTAAACGCAATGAGCGTTAATATCACATTCGAGCTGTCGCTTCACATTTCCGCTTCTACTCTTAAAAAAAATCTCCGATCCTAAAAGTTCAAAGTCATGGGCAATTTTATTAAAAAGCACAAAATATAATTAAACATTCTTCACTACGCATTAGTTCCTGTGCTTTTGTGAAAAATCTGATGTGTGAATTACTGCAGGAGTTATCTGAACTTTCATTGAACTGCAACAAAGAGACGATGATCTCTGCTCATAACGCTGTTTGTCGTGCAGTCAGAGTATTTGAAACAATGTTGAAGCGACCAGGACGCTTTCCTAAACTGAGGAGGATGATTGAGAGCAACTCTTTTCTAAACCAGTGACAAAGCGCTAAAAATATTAGGCAGTTTTTTCAAAGTGTGAGCAAAAACTTAAAGCAGTGCTTGTCCCATGGTGAGGAGCAGGGAGGAGGATGAGGAGGTGCACCTGACCACAGTGTGGGATTTTTTTTCCCAACCTTTATTTATACAGGTTAGTCCCATTGATCCTCGGGGACTCATTTACAAGAGAGACCTGATGTTAACAAAGAGTGATGACAACAGAAGTCAACAAAGACAACAGTAGACAATAATGAAAGAAAGCATGCAAATTGAGAAGAACAAATGAAAGAAATTGGTATTTAAAAAAAAAAAAGCTAGGTTGTAAGACAATGTAGAAAACTAAAAACAGGAACATGTCTGCAATGGTTTTTGCCATGAACTTAGCAGCTGTTTGAAGTCACATAGAGAGGACAAGGTCGAAAGCTTCAGATCTTGTTACAAGATATCCCAGGAAACAGGAGCGGAGTAGGAGAAGGCCCTTTCGCCTACTTCAGTCCACACTGAGGGAACACTGCATGTAATAATGTCCTGAGAGTGCATGCTGTAGCTGCACTCACGCAGAGACGTGTAGGAGGAGATGTATGAAGGCAGCAGACCAAGATGTGATTTAAAGATGAAAATGTATCGGTGAGAGAGTCTGCGTGAAGTTAATGATGACCAGTTAACCTGTGAATACAGGGTGCAGTGATTGACACGGTAGTTACAGCCAGTTGTAAACCTTAGTGCACCGTGAAAGACAGCAACCAGCATCTGCAGGGTGCTTGTAGGAGCATTCATATAGATAATGTCGCCGTAGTCAATGGAGGGAAGGAAAGTCGCAGTTACTATATATATATATATATATATGTGTGTGTGTGTGTGTGTGTGTGTGTGTCTGT